GTTAAATATATAGTTAACATATGACTCAGAAATTGCACTCCTACTTATTTATCCACAAGAAATAAAAATATATGTCTACACAAAAGTCCAAACGTGAATGCATACAGCAACTTTATTCCTTATTAACAAAAACAGGAAACAACTCAAATGTCTATCAACAGGTGAACAAATTATAGTAGTATTTGAGGGAATACTACCTGACAATAAAAAGGAGTGAAGTACTGATGAGCTACAACACGTACGAATCTCAAAAGCATTATACTTACTGAAAGAAGCCAGACACAAATGGACCACATACTGTAAAATCCCATCTATAGGACACTTCTGAAAATGTAAAACTATAGAGGCAGAAATCAGTTCATCTCACTGCCAGGGGGTGGGGATGGAAGAAGGAGACTAACTGCAAAGGGGAGTAAGAGAACTCTTGGGGATGATGAAAATGTTCTTTATCTTGAGTATGGTGCTTGTTACAAGATAACATGTGTCAAAACTTGTTAAACTGTGTACATTTAAAAGGGTGCATTTTACTATTTGTGAATTATACCTCAATAGACTTGACCTTAAGAAAAGTATGCAGACTTTTAAAGGCTTTTAACATATATAGCCTAATTGCCCTTCCACTAACTTATTCTCCTATTCCCATTTAATTTACATTCCCACTAGCGTTCTACAAGTGCCTGCACCCTCATCAGCCTCAGTATTACCAGATTATTATTTTGGATGTTTCCAATTTGTAAGTTTTTGTTTTTTTTTTAAATGGTGCCTCACTGTTTTGATTTGAATACTTTTTAGTTACTAGGGAAGGTTAACTTTTTTTCATAGTTTTCTTCAACAGTCATATTTCTTTTTCTCTGATGTCTGTTCATTTCTTTTAATCATTGTTTGAAGAATGTGTTTCATGTTTTTCTTATCAGCTTTTTTAGAATTTGTTATATATAAAATATATTAGTTACAAATATTTGTAATAAATGTTTCTCAGTTTGTCATTTATTTGCCTTTCATTATTATGCAAGTTTTTAAATATATACACATCT